AATTTAAATTTTCGTTATTGCGCATATCGAAGACAAATTTCCTTTTAATTTTGTAAATATTTGTTTTTTTTTGCAATAAATAAATGATTATTGAGGACTAGGTATGGCAGCACGAAATGTCACAATCTGCTTAATTGTCAGGTAGTTAATATGGCGCCCGAAAAGTGACAATGAAACTATCTTATTTTTTGTATCATGGGCTATATCTATCAATATTTTATGTAAAGGATGGGTTCACGTGAAATAAAATATACATGAGTTGTTTGAAGAAAAATTTATTCATTTATTGATAAAATATGCTCAAGTTGGCGACCTTGTACTCTAATACAAGCTCGGCGCCTTTTAAGAAAAGACGCTTTTAGAGAACTTAAACTCAATTGGGCTATCTCAGCAGCAGCTCCATTTATTTGTTCCCGCAAATGCTCTTCGTTTTGAATTGTTTTCGAATAAATTTTGTCCTTAAGACAGCCCCAGTAGAACAAATCTAATGGATTCAAGTCTGGCGATCGAGCGAGCCACGTGATTGGCCCGTATCGTCCAATCCCTCGGCGAGGATAAGTTTCGTCTAAATGAGCTCTTACTTCACGCCCGTAGTGAGCAGGGCACCCGTCATTTTGCAGCCATAGTCTTCGCCGCAGGTTTAAGGGTACATCTTCTAAAAGAGTTGGAAGCCGTTCCTGAAGGAACTTTAAATATCTGTGAGAGCGTTGACGGCATATCCACAGGTCCCAATATCTGACAATTAAAAATACCGCACCATAAATTTATTTTGTACTGCGACTGGTACTGCGAACGATCTTCTCTCATTTAGTGAGGATTGTCTATCTGCCAANTCTGTGAGAGCGTTGACGGCATATCCACAGGTCCCAATATCTGACAATTAAAAATACCGCACCATAAATTTATTTTGTACTGCGACTGGTACTGCGAACGATCTTCTCTCATTTAGTGAGGATTGTCTATCTGCCAACTGTGAAGGTTATGTAAATTAGAATAACCATCACGTTTGCATGATGATTCATCGCTCCAAATTATTTTATTAAAAAAGTTGGGGTCTGATTCATGCATTCGCCACATTTCACGGCAAAATCTAACCCTTGGCAGGTAATCTCTTTCTTGTAGAGCCTGAACACGTTGAATGTGATAGGGATGAAAGCTATGGTCTTTTAATGCTTTGTGAACTGTAGTTTTTGGTATTCCCGTCCGTCTTTCCATCATTCTCACTGAAGTCGATGGACCTAGTTCCACTTCCTCTAACACAACTTCAACATCTACCGTTGCAGGACGGCCTGTTTCGCCACCACGCCTTCCAGGTATGCGACCTTAAAAAAGTGAAAAATTATAGTTAACAAGCAAGCAAACAAGAAAGGTGTAAAAATCACTTACCTTCATACAGTGTTGCCATCTTTTGTTTTTCAAAAAGCACCAAAAACTTGGAAAAAAAAACGTTTTACCACACTAAAAGCACCAAATATTTTTCAATCAAGGGATGCTTTTATCATAACATAATAATACTGGTATGTATATCTCGAGAAAGAAAAATCGAATCGCAACAAACAAAAATGATACCCTAATTAGAAATGAGCAAATAATTTGATGTTTTCATTATATAACCTCAAATATCGCTAAAAACCGTGTTTTTGGCACTTTGGGGTTAGGATATCTCAAAATTCTAGTGCTAGAGTGATTGTGAGGCCAGATTTTGATTCTGCACCAAGAAACGATGTGTTTTACTCAGGTGGTAAAAAAAACAAAATCTGTACAATTAGAAAAGAAAAAATTAAATACTTAACTTACTGCGTACTAGCATTTTCAACGCGAATATAATTTAACAAGCTTTTTATCAATCATGGTTGTATTTTAGTCCATTTAAATATGTAGATTCTTGTAAATTCAGTGCTGCCACAGCTTTAAAATTTCAAATTATTTCAGGTTTTAACTATCTCGAAGTAATTTTAGTTCAGAAAAAAGCACTAAAATAGGCACTAGGCACTAAATAATTTTTTTTGGCGTTTTAATTTTCAAAAAGCACTAAATATAGTGCTAAAGCACCAAGTTGGCAACTATGTCGAAATCAGCTGGTTGCCTAGGAATGTGTAAAATCGAAACAAAACAAAAGAAATAATTGCACCAAACTATAGAAGCTTATGAAGTTAAACTTTGTAAATATTTAAAATAACTAAATATATCTAATTCATTTTAATTTCAAAATAAAATTTCGTTTGTTCTTAATTAAAGTGGAAGCATAATTCTATTGCTTGAAGAGCAGACCGAGTCCCAGATTGCTGATGCGAAAGTTGAAAGGCGGAGATTTAGAGACATGTTTGATCCTTTTCAGATGAGTGAAGAATTATACGAAATTCATCTTGAACTGCATTCTTACCGCTCAAAGCCAATGAAATTATAAACGTTGTTTGAGCACTCCACAACATTTGCATTTAGTACAGAGTGGAAAGCTTGAACGCAAATGAATTCGATTTGGAAAGCCGTCAGGAGGAGGGAGGGGAAGAACAAAGCTTATCCTTCCATAGCAAATCGTATTCGAGACAACATACACACCTCTTTTTAAAAAGCTAATAAAAACGAGTACAGTAATAAAAAACATCTTTTTTATGTAACTCCACATTTTATGTACGTATATATGTTATATACAAAGAAAAAATTGTATTCAGTGGATTTCACAGTCTTATTTATAGATAATGAAAACAAAAACGCCTGGACTTCCTCTTTGAAAACCCTGCGCAATATCCCTTTTGGTTGCCATTATTCGTATTGCCCGTATTGCTGCTCGCGAAAACACAGAAATCGAGAAAATTCATTTATGATGACTTTTACAATCATGCACAGTATATTTCACTTAATTTTTTTTAAATAAAATTTAAATATTTAAACCCACGAAAATAACAATCCAAACGTTCTCCGTCAACAAATTTGCAACTTAGAAAAACGTAATTACGATCGAAATGTAGAATAGGTACAACCGTAAATTTCGAAGATTGATCGAAACGAAACGGAACGCAGAATACCAAAGTTGGCAAATGGAGAAAATTTCGATTCGAGTCGAAATGCAGAATAGGGCTGATTATTGTTGTTTTGTAATAATAGCATCGAAAAATAAATAAAATGTTATTATATCACGTTTGACCTTTCTCGGCGTTTCCTTATGCACCACTTATATGTACGTATGTACATATGTATAATGATTTGATTGTTTGTCTCCCCTAGGCAATTCAGAATTTGCCGCCCTTTTCCCGATAAGAAAAATATTTTGAGGTAAAAGTACCAGTTTTGGAACGATTAGCAGTAAATAATAATATTAAAATTTATGTTAATTACTGCACTTTTATTACAATTTAACATGAAAAAGTGGTATTTGCCTTGAGTAAAGGTTTTCAACATTTAAAGAAAGCCATCATCGACAAACATTTTTCACTTGATAAGTTTTAATCTCAAAAATACTAAATTAGTATTTCTAAATATTATCATTTACATAATATCAAAATATCTAACAGTGTTGTCCTATTTTCTGACTGTGTGATTGAATCTCAAATTTATGCCTTAAAATGTACAAAAACAAATTCTACTTTCAGTGCGACTAACTTGAAACAAAACAAGTAAGAAAGTCTAAGTTCGGACGGAGCCGAACATTAACTACCCGGCGCAAGTATTAAATATACATATGTTTTCCACCTTTCCGAAAGCTACCGCTACATGATAAGCCGGGGTGTATAAATTTTAAGTAAATTAGCGTCCTTAAATTTCGAAATATTGAAATTTCAAGCATATCTGAAATTTACCGTTATATGAAAAGCGGCCGTAATTTTAGTCCGATTTCAACAATTTTCAATGGTTTGCTTTTATGTGGCAAACATAATAACCATACCGAGTTTGGTACAAATTGCTAGAACGGTTAGCGAGATACATATACGTGATCATAAGTGGGCGGTGCCAGGTCCATTTTCCTAAAATTTATCATAAACGTATTTCCTGGCAAAGAATTGTTGCAACCGTCATTTTGAATAAATTAGCTTTAATATTTACTGATTTATCGAGGATTTCGTATTTCTCTAAATTACCGTTATATGGGATGTGGGCGTGGTTATTGTCCGATTTTAAAAATTTTCGGCCATTTCGTATGTTATACCAAGGTCAACAACTGTGCCAAGTTCGGAAGAAATTGGTAAAGGCGTTACCAAGATATACACATGTAACCATAAGTGGGCGTGGCTACGCCCATTTCCCAAAAATTTTTAATATTCTTATTTTTCGTCTACAACTTATTGTAAATATCAATTTTGAGTGAATTATCTTCAGTACTTACTAAACTATCGCAGTTTTCGTATTTCTGAAAATTACCGTTATATGGGAGGTAGGCATGTTTATCGTCCGATTTCGTCCATTTTCAATACCATCTGTCCTACGCCCAAAGGAAGTGCACGTGTGCACAGACGGACCGACGGACGGACGGACAGACAGTCACCGCTTAATCGATTTCTGTTTCCAATCTGATCATTTATGTATACATTTGTCTATATCTATCTCGATTCGTTTNTTTATCGTCCGATTTCGTCCATTTTCAATACCATCTGTCCTACGCCCAAAGGAAGTGCACGTGTGCACAGACGGACCGACGGACGGACGGACAGACAGTCACCGCTTAATCGATTTCTGTTTCCAATCTGATCATTTATGTATACATTTGTCTATATCTATCTCGATTCGTTTTGGCTGTTACAAACAACCGTTATGTGAACAAAGTTATAATACCCTTGTGCACAAGTGTATTCAACTCAAATTTCGCCGCCCCTAAATTTTGCCGCCCTAAGCACCTGCCTATGTTGCCTTTACGGCAAATCCAATCCGCCACTGCGTATGTAAGTATACTTGTAACTTTATTTTTGGTTTAATCTCCGTCCCATGTCTTTAAAATTCATCACGTGAACAACATTACCTGGAAATGTGCTTTCTCGCTTTAGAACAACTTAAACGACTCTAATTAAAAGTGAAAAAATGTATTTATTACACGAAATTAAAAAATATCAAACATTCTTGACGCTTATAAAATCGTATTTTCGGATAACCTTTTACTTGCACGAATCCCATTAAAGGACGGCTTGAACAGTACGGCAAGTGACTTTTTGGCATCTTATAATGGTTACTGGAAAAAAAGATGTAAATTACGAGTAGAAACGATCCTTTTGTGCTGCCACTTACGCTCACAGACCGCCCGCACCATATTGCAATGCACAACATTGCGCCAGGTGGCACCGACTGTCGCTCGGCATCGAGTGTTGAAAACTCCCAAGCTGTCTTCTGGGTTTAATACAGGCCTATTTGCTGCTGTTGCTATACACCGTTGAGTGATTCTTGCACATGTCTGACGGTCCTGAGCCGTGTTGCAGGCTTTGATAGAGTGCACCAAATACACTTGACAAATATAAAAAAGAAGGTACTATATGGCGCTGATTTCTTTCAAGGAGAAGCTCACCTGAAATAATGAAAACTAGGAACTGTATCTTCATTGCGAAAGCTGGATGTACAATGAATCGGATTTTACTTTACTCTTATTTATAAGAGTTTATTGCGCTTTTGTTATGCATACCACTTTTAAAATTCTATACAATAAGGCCAGAACTGGATGTATTCGATGAATACAATTTCTTTCTTTACTACCTTTTTAATTGTTATATTGTTTTTTTTTATGCATAAATATGTATTTGCCGGCAATATTTAACTCCACTTTAATTGCAGGCATTATGTTATAATTATAAAGCATTCTTCAAAAAACAAAAACAGACATTGTTCCTTGATTGCTGGTCTTACTTACACAGTGGGCGAAACTGAAAAAATATTCAAAAATGGTTAATACATTCTAGGGTATAGAGAAAAGACGAATGCGTAACTAGAAGTCTACTAGTTTCGAGTTCGGTGCATACATCAAGAAGAAGCAAAATACTTAATTTCCTTTTGTCTGTTCTTCAGTACTTGCCATAACTCGTGAAAATATGAGGTATTTAGCACATTCATAGGTATGTATATGGGTTCCATGTATGTAATACCCAGACTTTTTCCCCCGGGCACGGAGTTCTCAAGGGAGCCCTGCGCTCAGACTCCAGAGTATATTTCATAAGATGTTGATAAATCGCAAATCTCAAAGCAAGTGAAATATTATTTAATTTCTTTTAGTTGAACTCTTTGAAATCATCCACTTTTTTTAAGCCTTCCTTTCTAGGGCACAAAACTGTGAGAAAGGATATGAATTTTTGAAAAAATAATAGAGTGGGCATGCCTGGTGAGCAGACAGCATTCGAAAATGTGCAAACAGTTATTTGCGAGCTCTGATAAATATACATCAGGCATGCCCAGCGCACGGCACTTGCTTACTGAATTCTGGCAGCGTTGGACATGACTGATATACATATTTATGTACATACATATGTACGATTGATCTGCTTTCGTCCTCCCGTCGGCCCTGGTAACATCATAAAAAACAACTTTCATCCTTTTCACAAATTTTAATGGGAAATTAGTGAAAAAAGGATGAAAGATGTAATTAAGGAAAAGGCGACGTGAAAAAGTATTAAACAATTGAGATGCTACGTATTTATGTAAGTCATTCGCAACAACTAAGAATACCATTGTTTTATTTAGAAAATGCAGCATATTGTATTTAATTATGGATAAAATTCACCACAACTGAAAGAAAAGTCTCATGATGCGTTATTTACTAAATTATTCTGCTTTCCATAACGCAAATTCTTTTAATACTGAGTCATCATTAACATCCAGATTGTGATGAATATTGAGAGTAGGGTTGCCAACATTTTCTTAAATATTTATGTACTATAAATATTTAAGAAAATGTTGGCAAAAAAATTGGAAAAAATATAGTACACTTCAAATAAATATAGTATTTTATTTCAAAGAAAAAGTAAAAAGGATTTTTAAGTGATGGACAATTTCTTCCCGTCAATGCCAAAGTTGTTGAAATAGAGAGTAGAAATGAAATAATTTTAAGTAGATTTGTTAATTTTTTCTCAGTAATGTTACCTTTTTAACCGACTTCCAAAAAAGGAGGAGGTTATCAGTTCGTCGGAATATTTTTTATTTATTTTTTATTTTTTTTTTTATGTATGTTACCGCATAACTTTGGACCACGTCAACCGATTTCGATAATTCTGCATCGGAAAGCTAGTGTCTCAGAGGTGGTCCCATACTAATCTGGTTGAGATCCGATCAGTAGATCATGAGATATATATATATATATATTTTTTATATGGGAGTTGAAGTCGGTTTTTTTTTGCTAAAAATTACTTGTTTGATTATAACCTTTTTTGGTTATAAAGTCGCAATGACCTTTTACTTTAAAGAATATTTCATTTAATATTGTTATTTCAGAATAAAGTTCCCCCATTTTCATACACATTTTTTCGTGCAAATTACTGAAATATACTTATATTTATAATTGAAGAAATATAGTATTTTTGCGTACTTTATTTTTTTCCAACAGTATATAGTACGTCGACCGGAAAAATGGTACAATACTATATATTATAGTACGGTTGGCAACCATAATTGAGAGAGGCTAGCAAATTGAGACGATCTTCTTTCGTAGTTGATCTCAAATAAGTTTTTAGGCGGCGCGAAGTTGGAAACGTTCTTTCATTCACGGCAGTCGTATAAAGTAAAACAGCTATGACTCTAAGTACTTGATGAACATTTGGAAAAGCATCAGAGTTACAAATATCCAAAGCTTCAAATGAATTTTAAATATTTATACCAGCGATGCGTTTCCACCAAAGTTAAACTTCACTTGTCCTTATTTCTGGCACCGAACCATGTAAAATGGATATATATTTCTCAAACAGTTCAACAGTTTTTTGTCAGGAAAGAGGCAACCAAATTAGACAAACTAGAAATCGATCTTGCAAATGCGTAAATAAAAGATGTAGGTACGGTAAGTACCTAATAATGAATACTCTACGAAATATGCTTCCGAGTGATTTGAATTTGTTGCGTTTCGTTACCTTGTATGAGCGACAATTCATATCATAATCAGTGTTGCTTGAACTTTTTGGGTCGACCGGCTAAGTTGGCGAAAAAAACGGCTAAAAACGGCTAAAATTCACATGTTTTATTTAAATAAATCACAAGTATAAATACTAGTAACTTTACTAAACAAATCACAAAACCAGAGACTGGTAAATTCATTACAAATTAGTTTGCCTACCAAAAAAACTGTCGTTATACGTATCTAAGCTTTACATCAGAAGTGATGTTTGTATTACTTAAAACCAAAAAAAAGTAATTAATTACTAACTTATGACGTTTTTTTATTGAAAAATGTTGTCTTCTTATATTGTAACATTTGCACTAGGTTACTTTCTGTCCTGCAAAATGCCTATATTCGTAGAAAGTATTGCACTTTTGCTTAGTCGGATGACAATATTTTGAGAAATGAACACGTAAAGCTGTGAAAGGGCTGAGGAAAAAGGTCAATATTAAATCCATTCAATATCAAACAATTGTTACGAATTGTTACTAGTACTTGCAAGTTTTTACTGGTAAGCATTCATTAACCCAAAAATTTGCTAGAGAGCATTCGAGAGCGTAATAACCGAGAGAGGGATGAATCGATACAAGTAAATCCATATCGATACTTTTCTCAATTTACCAAGTATTTTTGTACTCGATACTTTTTACTGCAATCCGAGTAAGTATCGAAAAAAAGTCGTTATATCGGAAGCGAAAAATTTATTATGTTTTAGCATCTTCTTTGAAAAGCAACCCATTAGAGGAATGGGAAGATATGCGCACTACATTTCCGCAGTTATATAAGCAAGCCCGTCTATACATAACGGTTGTTGGTTTTCTCAAAAACAGGTACAACTATACTAAAATCTCGAAACCGCCTTTCAGGAACACTGGGAAAAGTTGATGTTTTATATGAACTTGTAAAAATGTTTTCTATTGTTTTTGAAATCAAATACTATACAAATATAATTGTTGTTTTAAATTTTTTTATGAAAAAAATATTAAAAGATAAATTATCTTGTAAAAATGTATATTTTTTGTAAAAAAAAATACAATAACTTTGAAAAATATGCAAAATCGCAGATCTATGTACACGCACTCGATACCTTGCCGATACTGAGTAGGTATCGATACTTGTTTGATACAAGTACAAGTACTGATTTAAGTAATATCTTGATAGTATCGATTTATTCCTAATAAAACATAACTAGTCAAATGAAAATATGGATGAACAATTCAAATCCAATGTAAATTTTGACGTAGAATACGTCTTACGTTTCGATATGAAGGCTATGCTCAAATGTTGTAATTGTAATTTTTAGAGCTTCGCGAAAACGCTTATTGCACGAGAATTGGTGAAGCGATTTCAAAGAAAAGTGTGGCGTTTCAAAGACAAAATTCCAAACCTATCGACAGATGTATTTCTGTAAGTAACTAATTCGGTATCTGTCGTAAAAACAACGGTAAATATTGGCATATTTTGGGGTAAATTTTGAGCCTTTAAAGTGCTCTAGCAACTTATAATTTGCAGATATATATCAATTTCGGGATACAGATTCTTTGGAGCAATTGAAATATTATCGTGTACAAATTTTAAATAAATTCAACAAATATTGAGTATTTTAAGGTGAAAAATTGGTGAAAAAATTTGCAATCTTTTTATTACCAAATTGCTCGAAAACCTCTCGAATGATTTTGTTTTCTTTAATCAAAAATTCAGGTGTTTTCCCTTCGTTTGGTATATACCAAAAGTATGGGTTGGTATCTTCTAAGTTTGTTAATTTTATTCAAATATATGGGCATAATTGATTTTCCATACAAAAGCACTTCGTCAACAATTTGCAAACACATGAATGCGTTGGAAGTGAGAGAAGGAGACAAAAAGGATGTGTGTGTAGTAGGGATGCCAATTTTCGGGGTTTTGTCGATCCCGGGATTTTCGGGATCTGAAAATACAATCCCGGGATCCCGGGATTGTCCCGAAATTCAGCCAAAAGTGCAACACATCTGTGATCATCCTATTATAGTATTTTAAATCAGATTGATATAACAAAAAAAAGTACAATTTATTGTAATTCATTTACATATTCATTAAGGCGATAAATCAGTATTTTCAATCAACAAAAAACAAACATAAAATTTGACAAACATATATGTATGTATGTACATATCCTCATTAATTTATAACATAGTTTTTGTACTACAAG